CAGCACCAGCCTCAGCCCCAGCCTCAGCAGCAGCAACTACCGCCGCCGCCGCCGCAACCGCAGGAGACCGCGATGCCGGCCCCAATGGAGCCGCGATCTGAAGCTCAAGATAGACCTCAGCCGCCATTACTGAACACTGACAGCGCTATTAAGAAGCTGCCGCAGCGCAAGCAACACAGCATCTTCACGCCTATTGACGAAAATCGCTCCATTCTTTCCCAGCACTTGGCTTCATTTGCCTCCGATCAAAACAACGGAAAGGGTCCTCAGCTGCCAGACCAGGCGAACATCAAGATTGAAGGCAGCCGCTCCCAATCTGTTGATGTCGGCGCTGTCTCTAGGACCAATGGATCTACCTCGTCTCCACCTTTGCCTCAGCGCGCCACCTCTACGTCGCTAAACAAGACTCGCAACATTTCCGTGTCGTCTATCCCAGAGACAACGTTTACTCCACCTTCTCGCACCAATAGCATGAAGATTGGAGGTGGTGCGCGTCCCCGTTTGAGGGTGGAGATTCCCGACGAACCTTCGGATGGCGGTAGCGCAACTGCCGAGTCAAACTCTCCTCGCAACTCGACAGATGCTACATCCCAGACGACTCGGCGCCATGCATCCGATTCGCACTCTTCCGGTATGGTGCTGCCACCGCCATCCCCGTCCGCCCAGACGCTCCTGTCAGCCGGTGCCACGGGCCCTCCCAACCCGTTTGCTCGGCCGCCGCCGCAGCAAAACAACAACAACATGAACAGCAACATGAACATCGACACGCCAGTCTCTGCTCTTCCCTCCCGATTCCTGAACAATGAATTCCTCCCAAGCCCGAGCAGCTTCTACCCCGAGTGGTACTCGCGCGGTGGCAGTGACAGCAACACGCTGCCTAGCCCATTGAATTTTGCGACTCCTGTGGTAGGCTCAGGCCCCAGTTTTCTGAGGGACGACAATGCCACCAGCACCAAGCGCAAGAGTCCCGAAATCAGCGCAACCGGGCCCCACGATGGGCCCGACGTTGGCAACGAGCCCAAGAGGGTCAGGGTTGACTCTTAAAGCTTTGATATCCCTTCGTCTTGCCGCATTTCTGTACCATCTTACCTGCATTCTGGCCTCCTCAGACCAAATATGGAGTGCATTTGGTTCTATGATACCTCTTTCCTTTCATTTCACGGCATTAGCGTCACGTAAGGTTTTTTTAGTCCACGTTCTCTTCTATGTCTGGTGGATTACCAAGCTGCATTGTACAGGCGCAAAAAGGGACACGGACAAATATTGTTTTATTTTGATTTTTAATCTGTTGTTTCTGTTTGGGAGGAAGGTTCTCATCCTCGAAACGGCTCATGGGATTTGATGTGCACATGGGACATATGTGAGATGATCAAATGCAGGAAGAGAGGAGGATCCAGGGGCGTTTGGTGTTTTATTGTAGATTATCTAGGCAGTGGTTGTTTGGCCAGTTTGAATGAGTGTTGATCTGAACTATTCTATGTGTTCCTTAATGACGTGAGCTATGACCTGCCGGGCCAAGATCATGAGAAGCCACTAGGTGGGTGGATACCGATTGGTCACGCCCTTGTTCACGCAGTGATGCACGTCCCGCTGGACTCGGGAAAGAATTGGACACAAAACCCTGCAGAGGAGTCTTTTGAAGCGAGAGGCCGATGTTGCTCATAAGCGAATGAATGTCTGACGGCAGGTATGGGCTTCTGTCCAAATTACCCGCTAACAACAATCTAATATTGGAAGCGGGAGGGACTCCCACTTTAACCAACTCCTCGGTAGCGCCATGACGGAGTGGAACCGCAATGACATTCCGGCTTTTCTGAACAAGCATCATTTATCTGACAATGTACACACCAGCAGCCAAAAGGCGACGGCTCGATGATGCAAGCAACACGCTACGGAAGCCATTCAAATCACCAGCGGTAGTGCGCGACCGCGACGCGGCAGCGGGAGACGCTACCGCATCGTCGCCACGAACAGATGCGGTCGATACAAACTCATCGTCGACCCGGTGCGGCGGTAGCGCTACGGGTGTCACGGCACAGAGGAGCGGGATCCAGCTCACGACCCCCGCCAAGCAGTTCAGCACGCCCACCCGTCGTCCGTTCAGCTTGTCGCGGCCTCAGCGCGGAGTCTCACCCTCGCCTTTGAGAACAACGGGCGACGGCACGCCTACGGGCATTAGGACTGCGCGAGATGTGGCGGGCCGCGAGGAGATCATCAGACAGGCGGAGCGGATCCGAGGAGGACGGTCCGGAGCCGGGTCCGAGACGGATGAGGAGCTGGTTGTGCTGATTGCGAAGTGGAGGGCGGCGAGCCGGCAGGCTGCTGAGGAGGTGTTTGAGGCGTCCAAGGAAAGGGTTCAGAGCATGGGTGGGATGAAAGCTTGGAGGAAGACGAGGAGGGAGGAGCAGAAGAGCTTTTTGGAACGGATGATGGAGGAGGAACCTAAAAGAGATCGAGATGAGGACGCCGACAAGGAGGATGGATACTCACCAGACAACGTCGGAGCCGAGAATGACGGAGACAAGGACGACAGAGACGAGGATGAAGACGAGGTGAGACTTTCTGATCCAATGGAGGAGACACGCGGGTAACTGACTTGTTGCAGGAGTTCACTCTGGGAACGATGCTGAAGAGCATGAATATTGATTTCGAAGTCATTGGCTACGATGAGGATACCGGATGGTGGAGGGACGGCTGAGCGACAAGCTTGCCACACGCGGGCTTCGTCTGCTCGCCAAGACTGCACACCGCGACAAACGCCTTCCGTGACGTTCCCGCGCTCGGAGCAGCCCGACGTTTAGCTCTAACTCGAGATCCTTCCCGAAGATTTTACGTTGGTAGAAGGGAGGTGGCTATCTCGACTTTGTTTGTTCCATCTCGAAGATGGGATTGGTTGGGCAGATGCTACAGTTACGGCAGAAAGGGCCCGAGATCAAACCACCAAGTGAACCGCGGAATCGGTCGAGGTGGATTGACTTTTTCAAGCATAACGCGGGCAACGGGGTCTGTTGCTAATTAGCTCCGGCAGAACAGCCCTACGTCGTCGAAGTGGAGGGGCGCGGAAAACGAGATGAAAAGGAAAGTGCGCACAACTCTATTCTTTCCACCTTTCCGCCTGTGCCTGTGTATGTGTCTGTGCCTGTGCTTTGCGGCAAGCGGTTAGGTATGGTGCTGCTGCTGCTGCTGCTCGTCGACTGGTGCTGCGGGCCCTCCCCCCTCTCGCCTTGAAGAGGAGAAGGCTTGGACGAGCAGGTTAATCATGCCAGGGTCTCCCGGATCTGCTACGTGCCTTACTTCAATCAAGCTTCGCCTTACGCTCGTCTAAGCCTTATCTTGCTCATCAGGGTCATGCGGCTGGCTACTGGTGGTATGCACCAGCCTGGGCCATATGAGAATCGGGAACTCGGGTTCTACGCAGTAAGAGACCACCTTAGCGCTGGGTTGCTGATTACATGCAGACACACGTCCCCTTCGTTCTCGCCTCCTCTCTGCGTCTCTGAACCATGCCCAGCTGATGATGGCACCGTGGCTGACGCAGCCGATGATCCGATCTTCCTGTCCATTCGGTATGCATCAGCGGTGGTCAGTGTGTTATTAAGACCACAGGAGGCCTGTTAATGTCTCCGGTTCTGGCGGCCGGTGGTTATTACTCAGTGCCCGGTTCGGCGTGGGCGATGAGGGGGAATATCGCGAGTGAGGCCATAATCAGCGACTCAGCGAGGGGCAGAGAGGGTTTCCGCATCGTCTTCGCTCCGAGGAGGGAATGCTACGGTATGTGACGGTATGTGACGGCATCTACAACAAAGCTGCCGACCAATGACTCTCATCTGGATCCATTAGAAAATGAGAGGGTTAAAGGTGCGATTAGAGCTAAACACCAGTGGGTTTCCAAGCGTGGTGGGCCTGTTCGTGGGGTATTAGGCCGTCTTGTCGAGTATACGCATCCGCCTCCCGGTGGTGTTTCTGGCGTGATTTGGGGTCGACTGGCTGGCTGCTGGCCGCGGGCAGCGACCAACACGGCTGAACGGCTTCGAACTTCGCAACGTCGGGCGCAGAGTGTATCGTGTTTGCCCTGTTGTCGCCTGTCCGCTGGGCGATGGTCGACAGCGACCGTCTTGTGGTCTCTGTTGCTGCCTCTAAGCCTCGCCAGGTCGTCGGACCCGAGAGGGATGAAACGGTTCTGGTGCATCAGCGCTGCCGCAGATCAGGCACGTACCGGTCGGTCATCGTCACGCCTAGCACCCGCTCCCCGACAAGCTTCGCCAGAACGGCAGGTTGGCGGCTCGTAGGGGAGATCTCTGCCCCACCTTTCCTGTCGGACAGGCCAATGAAAGACCGGTTTCCGAGAGGTAGCCAACCCGGAAACACCAAAATCAACATCCAACCACCCCTTTCCCCACAGAATACCTGCCTTTACTATGGAGCACACTCAGTACCGTAGTAGAGAAATGAAGAGAGTTAACCATGCGATGGAGCAAAACCCAAAAAAAAAGTTGGCCGACCGCAGCGCGCCCGCCTGGGCGAGCACCACCTCTGCACCCGCACACCAACCCCATGTCCGAGAGCAAGAAGAGACGGGGGTTGTTTTGTATGGGTGGCTGGTTTGCTCGGTTCCAGGCCCTGCCTGTTCCCTTCCTCGCCCGTCAAATAAGGTCCTCGACTCTCTTTCGCGTTCGTCTTTTTTAGTTTTCCTGCTTGATTCAAATAAATCACCTCCCGCATCAACTGAATTCTTGGCGCTAGTCTTGAACACTACTTTGACTTCCCACGAACCAAACATCGTCCCCTCCCCAATCCGACTTTGTTGGTTCCCGTCCGGCGTAGTTGATCTGCGGCCCACTCCCATCACATCGACAACAAGCGTCTACAAGCCACGCTCGACGACAGCGAAGTAGCGGGATCGTTGACTGGCTTGGCGAAGGGAAGGATTGGAAAGGAGGAATAAGGGCGACGATCGCTACTTTTTATAACACACTTCACACATCACGAGCGCCTACGCTATGTTGGACGCTCGTCAAACCGTCGTCAACGCCAACGACTTGCCTCCCGGTTGGGTCATCCAGAATGGTCGTGCTATTCCGTGGTGGTACAGCAGGGTAAGTTCATCGAAACGCCCTTCATCGCCGAGACAACTTGTCTAACATACATTACAGACAGGCGTTATCGTCAAGTGGTCCGTCTTCCTAGGCCTCACAACGCTCTTTGCCGCGTTCCTCATCATCGGCTACATGCACGGCAAGAGGCGACTCAAGAAGGGTCTCCTCCCTCTCGGCTACCACCGCTGGCTATTCAGCAGAGCCCAGCTCGCCCGCGTCGACAGCCGCTACGCCTGGCCGCAGGCGACGTACAACAACTACCGCCCCGAGTACTACCAGCAGCAGCAGGGCTACTACGGGATGCAGGGCATGCCGCCCCCGACGTACGACCCCAACGCCGCGAGGCCGCCCATGTACGCTCCCCCCGACGGAGGCTCCAAGGTCGACCCGTCGCAGGAGTATGGCATCACCCCGCCCCCGGGCCCGCCTCCCCCGCCCGCCGCCATGCCGGCCAACCACACTGGCCAGTCGTATCCTTACAGGGCGCAGTGATTCGGTGTTTCGAAAGGAAAGCGTGTATGGCGAAGCGTCGGGGAAGCGGAAGAAGAAGAAGCATTTGCTGGTTCAAGATGAGATGATGAAGACGGCGAGCAGAATCATGATGAAAGACTACTTTGTATTTTCTCACGCACTCAGAGGCTGGATGTCCAGTGCGATTGCGAGGCTGAACGTCTCGATATGATGACTATAACTGTTGTAAATCGTACAAAGCAGTAACCATGACAATAAGATCTAAAAATGATACCAAAAAAACGCCTCGCTGGCCCGGCTACTCGTGCCGAATTGAATGCCCCGCCTTACAGCCGTGGATATCGTTATATGTATATATACGTAGGTACTCAAATGTTTACTTGCCTGAAAAGGTGCTTGCTAGTCCATGTCCATGGCATCGGGGTCGTATTCTACAGGTGCCGAAGCCTGAGGGGCGGATACGAATTCGGCGGGCGGGGGAGGAATGTGTTGTTGGGGAATAAACGGTGGGGGCATCTGCACCGGTTCGCCTTTGCCCTCACGTTCGAGACGCTGTCTCTCACGCATGCGGGCACGAGACTCGACGATGGCCTTGCGGACGCTGTCTTGCTCTTGGGGGATGGTCAACGACGTGGGCTCGTTGTAGAGGACCATCTGCATGCCAGCGAGTTGGCCTTCGTCGTTGGCGAGGATATGAGGGGGAATGCGAGTGGCGCGCAGGTGCTTCTCAATATCCGGCAGGAAGACCAGTTTGCCCTCTTCGGGTTCGCTCTCAGACGAAGACAGCTCGTCGTCAATATCGTAGATGTAGACCTTGTACTTTGAGTCGTCAAGCTGCATCACCTCATCATCTGCAGGGGGTTTGCGGTCACGGCGGCGGCGACCACTATGCGGTGTGCTTGACGGTGTTGCTGACGGAATGACGTCTGGGGATGCATTTGATGCGGAGGCGATGGGATTCTCCACGGGAACGTAGAGCTTCTGGCCATTCTTCTCTGCATGGGAGTCAGCAATGCATGTTGAAACAGAACTCAATAAGAGGGAAGTGTGGCTTACCCAAATTCAACAGACTGAGTCTCTTGGACAACCGCTCATTGTCCTGAGACTCGGCCTTCCTCTTGCGCCTCAACTGCCTCGTCTGTTGATGTTGGTGCTGATCCGCCTCCAGGGCGTGGGCATCCAGGGCGTGGGAGGGCGATTGGGCCCCGTGCAACAGCATGTTAGGGGCGGCTGCTTCTAGAGCCCGGGTCTCGCTGGAACTTTTTCTTCCCGCCTCGCCAACTTCCTAACCCCGTTCAAAACTCGAACCGCAACTGCCGACCCGGGACGACGACAACGAACCAGAGTCGACGAGAATGCTCAATTAAACGCAGAGCTCGAGGCCGACCACTAGGATCGCAGCACGGAGAGACACAACGAAAAACGCAGCGTGGGACGACGGACGCCGCAATCGGGTGCGCGCGGAGGTGTGAAGAGGAATACGCTGACCGCTGAGCTGGTTTTCCCGAAAGGTGGGTTGGTGTGGAAAAGGGAATATCCCGTCGCAAAGCGTAAGCTCGAGTGAGTTCAGGTCGACGGGCGGAAGACCAGGGCCAAAGAGAGGCGATAAGAAACCCGACACCGGCGAAGGTTCAAGGCGGATATACGTCCGGCTGGGCCTGGATTCCGACAAGGCGTTTCTCTGCTGAAAGGAGCTCGGTCGCTTGTGGCTACAGCTGAAGGGTCGTTGTTCGTTCTCGAGAGGAGCTGGAGTGAGGAAAAGAGGAGACAATCGACGGTTGCGTCGGGATCGCAATTCGCTGGTGGCCTTTTGTGGTATTTGAGGGGGAATGACCAAAGCTGCTGTGCTCGTGCTAGGGGCGCGTTCGCTGGCGCGGAGCTGCAGCCATGGGGGACAGCTGGGGAGGAGCAGGAGCTCTGGCGCTTTTGTACCGCATTTGACTCATTCGACTTCTTGTAGAAGTTTCTACAAAAGCGCCGAAGCAACCCCCTCGTCAACTACCGCCCTGCACCACCACCCGCTCCCGCACCAGCAGCAGCCCAGTGTCCCGCTATCGCTGCCGTCGCTGCCCCTCCTACCCCAAGTCCGAGGCAATGCACCAAGCCCAGCATCAGCACCAGCTGCAGCACTAACAAGCTCGTCCCGCAACAAGAGTCACGCCCGCCGCGCCGGCGACCCTGATATTTCGCCTTCTCCCACCACTCCCTCCACCACCGCCAATCTTCGCAAGAGAACGCCGGTCAGATTCCAGACGAACACCGTCACGCCTCCGTCTGGACTAATCGCATCGAGGGTTTTCCCCTGGCAGAGGCGCTTTTCTTCTTCCCCGACTTCCTCTACTGCAATCATGGCTGAGCAGCAGTGGCCCGGCGCCGTCGTGCGCAAGACTTTCTTCGACTTCTTCGAGAAGAGGGGCCACACCATTGGTACGATATCACCACACTCCCACCAACAAGACCATGATGCTGCATCGCGCACATGTCTGCGCTGATCATGGAATGCCTCTTCTTCCGTTGCATCCTTGTGATTGTACAAGTTCAATCAGCTAACCTCCGCCGTTATCGCTGCAGTGCCCTCCTCCTCCGTCGTCCCTCACAATGACCCCACCTTGCTCTTCACCAATGCGGGCATGAACCAATTCAAGCCCATCTTCCTCGGAACGATCTCCAAGGCCGATCCCATGTACACTCTGAAGCGTGCGGCCGACTCTCAGAAGTGCATTCGCGCCGGCGGCAAGCACAACGACCTTGACGATGTCGGCAAGGACAGCTACCACCACACTTTCTTCGAGATGTTGGGCAACTGGTCTTTTGGCGACTACTTCAAGAAGGAGGCAATTGAGATGTCCTGGGAGCTTCTCACCAAGGTCTACGGACTCGACCCTGCTCGTCTATACGTCACCTACTTTGAGGGCAACCCCGCCATGGGTCTTGAGCCGGATCTGGAGGCGAAGAACCTGTGGCTGTCTGTCGGTGTCCCCGAAGATCACATCCTGCCCGGTAACATGAAGGACAACTTCTGGGAGATGGGCGACCAGGGCCCTTGCGGTCCTTGCAGTGAGATTCACTACGACAAGATTGGCGGCCGCAACGCTGCGAGCTTGGTCAACATGGACGACCCTATGGTTGTGGAAGTCTGGAACAACGTTTTCATCCAGTTTGACCGCCAGGCCGACAAGAGTTTGAAGTCCCTCCCCGCTAAGCACGTCGACACTGGTATGGGCTTCGAGCGTCTCGTCTCTGCTCTCCAGAACACCGTCTCCAACTACGCCACCGACATCTTCACCCCCCTGTTCAAGAGGATAGAGGAGGTTACTGGTGCTAGGCCATACACCGACAAGTACGGCGCTGACGACACTGACGGCATTGACACTGCTTACCGTGTCATTGCCGACCACATTCGACTGCTTACCTTCTCCATGTCTGACGGTGCTGTTCCCAACAACGATGGCCGTGGATACGTCGTCCGCAGAGTCCTCCGCCGTGGTGTCAGATATGCCCGCAAGTACTTCAACGCCGAGATTGGCTCCTTCTTCTCCAAGATCCTCCCTGCGCTCGTTGAGCAGATGGGTGAGCAGTTCCCCGAGATCGTCAAGAAGCAGCAGGACATCAAGGAGATTCTCGACGAGGAAGAGGAGGCCTTCGCCCGTACTCTGGACCGTGGCGAGGCTCAGTTCGAGAAGTATGCCAAGGAAGCCCTCAAGAAGGGCGAGAAGAAGCTCTCCGGTGCTGTCGTATGGAGGTTGTACGACACTTTCGGTTTCCCTGTTGATCTGACCAAGCTCATGGCTGAGGAGCGTCAGCTCGAGATTGACGAGGACGAGGTGAAGGAGGCCCAGGAGAAGGCCCGTGAGGCTAGCAAGGTCGTCAAGAGCGCTGTTCAGACTTTCGCCAAGCTCAACGTCCACCAGATTGCTGAGCTCGAGAAGGAGCTCAACGTCGCGAGGACAGACGATGAGGCAAAGTTCGGCAAGGGCGATGCCAAGAGCAAGGTGCAGGTCATCTACGATGGCAAGGGTTTCGTCAAGTCCACCAAGGACCTCGCTGAGAAGACTCCATTGGGTCTGCTTCTCGACAAGACGAACTTCTATGCCGAGTCCGGTGGCCAGGTTGCGGACACTGGCCGCATCGTCATTGACGACGTTGCCGAGTTCAAGGTTCTTGACGTTCAAAACTTTGGAGGGTACATCGTCCACAACGGCTACCTTGAGTACGGCGCTCTGTCCTCTGGCGATGAGGTTATCTGCGAGTACGATGAGCTGAGGAGATCTCCTATCCGCAACAACCACACCGGTACTCACGTTCTGAACCACTCCTTGCGTGAGGTGCTCGGCGACGATATCAACCAGAAGGGATCTTTGGTCGACAACGAGAAACTGCGTTTCGACTTCTCCCACAAGACTGGAGTGACGATCCCCGAGCTCAAGAAGATTGAGGAGTTCTCCAACACCTACATCAAGCAAAACGGCAAAGTCTACGCCAAGGAGGTCGACCTCGACCTTGCCCGCGGCATCGAGGGTGTCCGTGCTGTCTTCGGCGAGACCTACCCCAACCCTGTCCGCGTCGTCTCTGTTGGTGTCGACGTTGACACCATGCTCGCAAACCCCAAGAACCCAGAGTGGCGTAAGTACAGCGTGGAGTTCTGCGGTGGAACCCACGTCGAATCCACCGGTCTCATTAAGGACCTCGTCATTGTCGAGGAGAGCGGTATCGCCAAGGGTATCCGCCGTATCATCGCCTACACTGGCGACGCTGCTCACCAGGTCCAGCGCGAAGCTGTTGAGTTCTCCAAGAAGCTGGACGCCCTTGAGGCCCTGCCCTTCGGCCCCGGAAAGGAGCAGGAGATCAAGACCACGCAGCACGCCCTGAACCAGCTGACCATCTCCACCCTCACCAAGGAAGACATCAAGAAGCGCTTTGAGAAGATCGTCAAGGCCGTCACGGATGAGCAGAAGAAGCGTCAGAAGGCTGAGGCCAAGACTGCCCTGGACACTGTTGTTGGCCACTTTGATAAGAACAAGGACTCTAAGTGGTTCGTTGGCCAGCTCCCCATTTCCGCCAACGCCAAGGCTATTGGTGAAGTTGTCAAGCACTTCCAATCCAAGGACAAGGAGCGCTCTGTCTACCTGTTTGGCGGTAGCAAGGACGAGGGCGCAGTCGCCCACGGTGTCTACGTTGGAACGGTAAGTTGACCATATGCTTCTTCTATGAGCACCAGGCTAATTCACGTAACAGCACCTTTCATCCCAAGGTGTGACTGCTGAGCAATGGGCTACCCAGGTCAGCGGAATTATTGGAGGCAAGTCCGGCGGTAAGGAGCCCGTTCGCCAGGGACAGGGTACCAACGCCGAGAACATTGATGAGGCTGTTGCCACCGCTGAGAAGTGGCTCAAGGAGAAGCTCAACATCTGAGCGTGATGAAAATATTCCCGCTGCATGCCGTGGGCGCATGTCGGCAACCAATTCACTTTTGTTCAGGAACTAGATGGGTAAGGCATATGGGTGGAAAGGTTATGTTGTGAACCCGTCAGGGCACACAGGAGTAGTTTGAAGAGATATCAAAAGCAGTTCCTCTCACACACGTTTACGGCATCAAGATGAAAAAGGTTGAATGTGCCATGGCAGAAAGAGATTCCACGACCCACGGGGTATATGTCCTTTTTCTCTATACAAGGTCGTTGTTTATACAGTGACCAGAACACTGGCGTTCTGGTAGTAGCTCAGAAGGGGGTTCTCCCCGCTGCGCGTTTGGGTGTCTTCGAGGAACGCCCAGCGCTTCATGAAGTCGCCATGCGACATGAGTCTCGTGAGCTTACCCGTGATGGCCTGGTACACGGTCTCCATGACATGGAAGTCTGTGGGGAACATGATGTCAAAGTAGCCCTGGTGCACCTGCGGTTGGTTAGCATAGTCCCAGCCACCATGAGCGCTCTCGTTGTCAAAGCTTACCAAAGGCGTCATGACGGGCACCGTCTTCCGCTCGTAACGAGTCTGGACCACAGGCGCGTTGAGACCCGGAATGGCGTCCGGGAGAGAATGGAAATCACTCGTCACGAGACGATGCGCCGGGAAGTACTTCTCCAGCACGTCGAAGAATTGCATCAGCCTGGTGGGCACGTACTCCGCCTCTGAGAGGTTGGGCATCAGAGGCATGCGGGACTTTAGATTGCGCAGAAGACGGTTCGCTGGGTACGGTGTCGGGTACCGGCCGCCCGTGGC